AATCTACAATTACAGCTCTTTGCACATCTAATGGCACTCATCAAAAAAAAATTAAATAAGAACAATTTTGATGTCCCGACTTGCCGCCCACGCCCAACCCGCAATTCCGAATGGATTTAGTTGATTCTAGGTGCATTAGAGAGGCCTTCATGAGCTCTTTCTGGCAGTACCCTTCTCAGCCCATAATACTTGAAATTTGGAAATTGAGTCGGTATTGGCGTCACTCAGTGCAAATTTTGAGCAAACCAAATTTTAGGTATTATGTATTGAGTAGGGTACGGCCTGAAAGAGCTCAGGAAGGTACCTAAAATCAACTAAATACATTCGGAATTGTGGGTTGGGCATGGGCGGCAAGTCAGGACATCAAAATTGTTCTTATTTAATTTAATTTTTTTGATGAGTGCCATTAGATGTGCAAAGAGCTGTAATACATAATAAGTTGAAAGAAAGTTGAAATAAAGCTTGCATATTTATTGAGAAGTGGCTGGAGAAAACCCCTAGAAAAGCAGAGGTGAACAGCAAGAGAAGTATGCACAAAATCCGAAGATTTGATTAGATTTGGCAGATAGGGGCAAAAGCAGCTTGAGACAAACTAAGTAATTGGGAAGGGAAATTTAATATAAAAAGGACTGCTTCATGAGATGTGTACTTACCTGGGACAGTGTAGGGGTGAAGTGAGGGCAGGAGTATTCATCCAATCCTGCAGGTTGCGGTGGTTGATCAGAAATCGGCCCGCGCACGGCGAATTCCGAGCCGTGGGACCCGGGGGCCAACATCTCGACAGCCGGCAATAACATCTCGACAGCATCACGTGAATTTTCAGGTGACTTTTCACATGACTTTTCACATGACTTTCTGTCAAAGGCTGTGCTCATCGTGCTTTCATGTATAGGACAAGCTTTACGACCCGTGCCTTCAGCACAGCCGACTCGCTGCGCTCGCGTCTGTCCCTTCGGCGGGTCGACAGCTTGTTGGGGCTCCGCCCCAAACCCCGGGGGGTCTTTGCATCTCAGTAGGAAAGTGTAAATCAAATATGAAAATTTTATTAACAGGATACAATAAAGTAATGATAACTACTGAGCATTAATAAATATACTGTGCATCATTCATAAAATTGATAGGGCTTCATAAGAAGACTTACAAACAAATTAAAGCAGCACCTCTGGGCATACAATATTTTTTGTGACAGTAGAATTGAGGTCTTGCTTGAACAGCACCCGAATCAACTGGCTGGATGTGCACCTAGAGAGTGCAACGTAAAGCTTTCCATGAGCAAACACATCTGTGCGCAGGTCCAGGCCAACATGGTCTACAGACTGGCCCTGGGCTTTGTTTATTGTCATTGAAAATGCCAGACAAACAGGGAGTTGGCTGGTCACTCACGAGTGCTTCTGTTTGGGCTGCTGAGACTCTTCCTATCCAGGAGCATTGCGGGCTCAGAGTAGCCATTTTTCCCACCCCTCTACATATTTTATATCTCACATAGTACTGAAAATGCAACCATGACCTAATCCGATGTCGTTTCATAGCTAAGGAAAGCTGCTCTGTAGAGGGAATAATTGTGATGTAGGGAATAAATGCTGTTGTGCCATCGTGTTCTCCCCTAATGAGCCTGATCTCCAAGATGTGAGGTGACAGGGTAAGAATCCCTCGAGAACCATTGCAAAGACCATTTGCAGAGTCCAAGTTTTGGAGGACCATGATTGGACATCCAACTTTCAACTTGGAAAGAGGATCTGAGGGGAAAACACTGCTAGATCTTATTGAGATATGGTGTATTACAGGGTGAAAGACAATTATTTCTGCTATTAAGTGTGGGCTTTCAAGAGTATAGTTTTCATGTTCCTGTCTTTGAGAATGTAGATTAATACATAATAAGTTGGAAGAAAGTTGAAATAAAGCTTGCATATTTATTGAGAAGTGGCTGGAGAAAACCCCTAGAAAAGCAGAGGTGAACAGCAAGAGAAGTATGCACAAAATCCGAAGATTAGATTAGATTTGGCAGATAGGGGCAAAAGCAGCTTGAGACAAACTGAGTAATTGGGAAGGGAAATTTAATATAAAAAGGACTGCTTCATGAGATGTGTACTCACCTGGGACAGTGTAGGGTGAAGTGAGGGCAGGAGTATTCATCCAATCCTGCAGGTTGCCGTGGTTGATCAGAAATCGGCCCGCGCACGGCGAATTCCGAGCCGTGGGACCCGGGGCCAACATCTCGACAGCCGGCAACAACATCTCGACAGCATCACGTGAATTTTCAGGTGACTTTCCACATGACTTTCTGTCAAAGGCTGTGCTCATCGTGCTTTCATGTATAGGACAAGCTTTACGACCCGTGCCTTCGGCACGGCCGACTCGCTGCGCTCGTGTCCGTCCCTTCGGCAGGTCGACAGCTTGTTGGGGCTCTGCCCCAAACCCCGGGGGGAGGGGCCCCACATTTCAGTAGGAAAGTGTAAATCAAATATGAAAATTCTATAAACGGGGTACAATATTAAAGTAATGATAACTACTGAGCATTGATAAATATACTGTGCATCATTCAGTCAGAGAAAGGCTTTGTAAAAGAGACTTATAAACAAATTAAAGCAGCACCTCAGGGCATACAATATTTTTTGTGACAGTAGAATTGAGGTCTTGCTTGAACAGCGCTCGGATCCACTGACTGAATGTGCACCTAGAGAGCGCAACATAAAGCTGTCCATGAGCAAACACATCTGTGCACAGGTCCAGGCCAACATAGTCCACAGATTGACCCTGGGATTTGTATTGTCATTGAAAATGCCAGACAAACAGGTGTTTCATAACAAAGGAAAGCTGTTCTGCAGAGGGAATAACACACCTTGAGCAACACACTAAAGATAAAGCTTACAGAGGCTTTGAGGCAAGGTACAGCAAAGAGGGGAATAGCAGGGCTGAGATCTGAGGGAAAAACACTGCTAGATCTTATTGAGATACAGGCAGACAGTAATATATTATTACAGGGCAAAAGACAATTATCTCTGCTATTAAGGAGGAGTGAGAGGCAGTCTATAAGGAAAGAACAGATCCTCATACCTTATTGGGCAGCAGTCTAGGTGCTGTGGAGAAGAGGGACTGCAGATAGGAGCCTTACGCGAGGTGTCCAAAAGGCAGTGCAGGCCTTCGGCCGAAAGAATCACGTGACAATATCAGGTGATTCATTCGGTGCAGTGTCTGTAGTGTTTTTCTATATAGGATGTTATGCAACCCGTGCCTTCGTTCTGGAGGCTCGCCCCAGACACGGCGGATTCTCAGTTTCTGCGCAGACACGGCGGATTCCGAGTTCGGGGGGTTCGCCCGCACACGGCTTATTCCGAGTTCTCACATGACGTTCATGTGACTTTATCAGGTGACTTTTTAAGTGGCTGTGTCCGTAGTGTTTTTATATATAGGATATCCTATACATGTCCTATACATCCTATACATGAAAGCACGATGAGCACAGCCTTTGACAGAAAGTCATGTGGAAATTCACATGATGTTGCCGAGATGTTGCCGCCGGGTCCCACGACTCGGAATTAGCCGTGTGCGGGCAAACCCCCGAACTCGGAATCCGCCGTGTCTGCGCGGAACTGAGAATCCATGGGGTTTGGGGCGAAGCCCCAACAAGCTGTGGACCCGCAGTAGGAACGGACCGAGCGCAGCGAGCGTCCGTGCCGAAGGCAGGGTCCTAAAGCTTGTCCAATCATACGAGACCCGCGCATTTCACACGTGACACGTTTTCTGGGATCCCTCATCAAAGCGGTCGCAAGCTCCCCCAATAATGCATAGTCAAGTAGGGAGTATAATGCCGGGCAAAGGTAAGGGAAAGAGTCCCGCTGGTGTGCGGTGCACGTCTGCTCAAGATCAAAGTCTTGACATATGTTAATGCGGAAGGACCCCGTTCGACTCGGGGGTGGGACATAGGTTGGAAGCATCAATTACCTTTTTCCACCCACTCACTCGCGCGCCGGTCGACCAGCATAATGCTTTAAGAAATATAATGCATAGACAAGTTGGGGATATAATGCCGGGTCGAAGTAAGGGAGAGAGTCCCGCTGCTGCGCGGTGCACGTCCGCTTCCCATTATCGGTAGATTGTGTAGACGTGGAAGAACCCCGTTCGAAGCGGTATAACTGACGGTAATAGCAGAGGAACAAGTCCTGCTGGTGCGCGGTGCACATCCGCTTCCCATACGTGGGAAATAGTCTTGACGCGGAAGGACCCCGTTCGACTCGGGGGTGGGACATGTACCCTTTGCAGTCCTCTTTTTGGAAAGAAAAGACAAAGTGATTCTAGGGGGGTGAAGCCAGAACATACATTCAATGACCCTGGGTCCAAGCATTGAATTACGGACGGAAGCTTGAGTTTAAATAAACTCGAGTCAAGGAAGCTGAGTGTGCGCGAGCAATCCCTGGACCATGTTCGAATAAAAAATGGTATGGGGCGGGCCTCTATCAATGGCAGGAGGGAGTCCACGACGCATATTGATATGAACTGGAGTTGAAGTAAGGAAGAACGTCCCGCTGGCTCGGCGCCCATCCACCCAATTAAATATAAAATGCAACCGAGCAGGGTGGAGTGGAAGAACCCCGTTCAATCCGGAGGCGGGACATGCTTTCAAGCTGTTGTCTTTTTATTGCTGCGCTTGAATCAGAAGATGCAACGTCCGATTTAGACGAGCTGGAATCGTCACCTGAGTGTCAGTCTGGAGAGACTATGTATGATTCGCGTCGCACTGAAAAGAGCTTGGATAAGATGCAAATTGCATAAGCGGAAGAGAAAAAAGAAAGTGTGTCTGCACTAATGGCCTGGGCACGAATCGAACGGGCAGCTCCTGCAGACTGCTAGTACTGTCGATCATATTGAGTGCAGATGCGAACCATCACTATCGGGCCTTCCTGAGCCATCTGTTACCTAGCCTTCCGCTGCTAGAACTTGGTTAGGATATGAATTACATGGCATTTCTCACCGCAAAAAAAAAAATGATGGGAGACCCATTATAGCCCGGGCGCGAATCGAACGCGCACCTCCTGCAAACTGCCGTTGCCGAACATACCATTGAGTGCAGGTACGGACCATCCACCACCGGGCCTTCCTGAGACCATTCGTGCCCTGGCCTTCCGCTGCTATCTCGAGATGCTAATATTTTGAATCCAAGTCAGATGGGAGGGTTCCTGTGGAGGGTGACAAAGCAGCTTGCAGTCATATCTTGTTTCGATTCCGGCACGCAGATGTAACATGAATCAAAACCTCGAACGTCTCTGCATTATGCGGGCCGCACTTCTAAACCTGCCGGGCGCTAATGGTATGTACCCACGGGGATAATAAACTTCAATGTTCGCAGAACGTGCACACCATGCATCCTTTAATCACTGGTGATCAAAGCAACATTCCCACCCCCAGCACACCCAGCAGCACGACAGGCACTCCTGTACAAATACGGCGCGCGCCACTCTTGGCCGGCTTCGCGGACAGGCTTGGGCTCCCACTCGCTGAGTTGCTCGTGGTCCTGCTGGGACTGGCGCTGCTAGCGCTGGACGGCTTTCCCAATGGCGAAGCCACACTGGTGGCGGGGGAGCTTGAGGCGCTCGAGGTGGGGGAATTTGCAGCAGAGCTGTTCGGGGCGGGGATAGCAGAGGCTGGGGCGCTCGTGCTCGCGCTGGAAGCCTGGGCACCGGAAGCCGAGGCGGAGGATCCGTCGGTGGGCGTATCGGATCTGGATCAAGAGGGTGGTGTATTAGAGCTGTGTCGTTCCAGGAGGTAGAAGAGGACGGATAGGGATTGTAGTGGTCGGGCAGCAGGTGCGACTGTGCAACTTTATAGAGAATCACTCACACCGCATTATCCGGGCAGGTCGTATCCCCCGCGGTCAACGCCCCATTCTGCGCAGAAAGTAAACACCCACTCAATAGCACGCGGAGCAGTGAAGCAGACGCACCGTGAATGAATACGTGCAGTCCGTGTTAGCGTACGAGCACGTGAAGACTTCCGTCGAGGAGTCGGCCGCCGAGATGGTCACCCCATCGTTGTTGGTCGGCGGACATTGGAGGTTGGAAAGCTGGCGCCTGCCGACGGTGGGCAGCGCTGCGGCGTGCGTGCCGATCAGGGTGAGGGCGGCGAAGAGAAAAATTGAAACGTTGAAAGTGGGCATGTTGAATGAATAAATGAAAGAAAGGGGCCGAGTGAAGTTTACGTCCAGACGTGGAGGGGGAACGAAGAAGAAAGAAAGTTGAATGGACTACAGCAGAGTACCAGACGCGTTTAAGAGCAACGGCGCTGGGGCGGTGGAATTTAACTGAGTGTGCCGACTCGTTCAAACAACGCGTTCGGGCGCTCCACTTGCGGGCCGCAGCTCGTGGTCGGCAGCCCATTGGGATTTCAGCGCTGATGTCTCCGTCATCTTGAATGTTAAGATCAGCAGGTTCTCGTCAGATACGACCTGTACGATTCTCATTTGGGATTCAACGCTGATAAGGGCGTCAGGATAAATATATGAGAGAGCATCAGTAGAAAACAAGAATTATCTGAAAAATACAAACTTCGATATGCATGCCACTACTGTAGCTGGCATACGTTGCAAGTTCTTGTATATCTAGATATGCGGCACGGATAAGTTGTCGACCTGTCCATTTTCCGTTCAGCATGGGTCGAAATGATCCAGGCTGAGCTTTAGACTCACCGGATAAACAAGCGAACATCTTCTCATTCGCAACTCATTTGAACAAGTTCTCGAATGACAGCGTACTCACGCTGTGCGTAAGATGACAGACCGACGGCGCGCGGCCCCATTTGGAATTCGGAGCTGATGTAGGCGTCAGATCAGCGGGACGAGATGGGCGCCCATGAGAGGACTCACGAAGGCTTAGATTTAGTCCTTGTTGCCTCCTCGGGTTTATCCTTGATGATGGCGCTGATACGATGAGGGCAGTTATCGCGTGGTACAATTTCAGGCGTGCAGTGGTCGACGACGCTCGATGCCGAGTATCGAGATGAGCTTGGTTCAAGTTACAAAGTCGGAGGGAGTGGTTTCCGCGGATCCAACACTCTGACGGATACAAATTCAGTTCAACGGTCGCTGTGTATGAGAAGAGAGCAGTTCACACTCGCACCGGTCGTCTTTCATGCAAGAGAGCAAGTCTGAGTCCTTCGGGCTGCACGATGCACAGCACATCCGCTGCTGTTGAGCCGGGAACAGTAGCACCCACAACGACGCGCGCCTCATTTGCCTCAGGGAGCTCATCATGCACATCGGCATACAAATCACCGAGCACGTAGATGGGATTCCCCTCGATTTTCGCGATGTAGCGCTTGAGAGAGGATATCCATGGGGGGATATGATGATCATTAGATCAACACGACCGATTGTGGGTTCCTGAGGATCAAACGCGCAGGCCGAGTGCTCTTCGCTGCTCTGAATGGAGATGGTAATAAACTGCGCTGGAATGCACTGAAGCGCTGAAGTGTGGATGAGTTGATAGGCGCTCACCATGCTGCGGAATCTGGCTGGGTTGCTCTCTCTTCAGTCCGTGGCAGATGAGCTTTCTCCCTTTCAGACAGTGCCTTGACAAACACAAAGGCCAACGCGTTTGCCGGAGTGCAGCCCATCCCGACTAGGCCGAGAATCGACACTCTTTCGGTTTCGTCCATAGGGTTCGGGTCAGAGGAGAGTCGATAGAGAGTTGTACGCCCGCCGGTGAGATCCGGAATGCACTCTGCCTGCGCCAGAGTCCGCTTCAAAGAGGCCACATTGAGGAGGGGAGGAAGGGAGTTCGCCTTGATGAGCCTGACGAACGGATTCCGCGGGTCGGTGGCGTTCTTAGGGTATCGCGTCATCAGGCCCATACACGCGATACTACACTGCGAGTGGTGATTAAACCGCAGATAGTTATGGATATTTTACCACTAAACATACTGTGGCTCTTTTGACTTCTCCGAGACTGACGGCAATGCGGCGAGTCAAGAAAAGAGTGCGCCCAGTGTGAAGGGCGTTGGTGGCAGTGGGACTTCTGTCGACATAAGTGCGGGAATGTGACATCGATGAGCAGCGCGATCCACATCGCAGAAAAATCGGCCACAAGCAGCGGAAGGAGAAGAGGTCTCCGTTAACTTCCGTATCGGATTCAATCGGATTCCGCTAAGTTCCGCATCACACGTGACACATCGCGATAGGCGTCGCAACCACAACATATCACAACACGAAGACCTTAAATTATCCTTAGCGTCCAGGGACGGGGACTCGGCTCGAATTGGGGCTCGATTCCCACCGCTAATGCTAAATTTATGAGAGTGGAAGTGAATAAAGGCTCCAGAGGAATTCATCCTAGACTGAGTCGGATAACCAGCCCTACTACGGACAGTCGTATAGATATGGAAAGACCAGCGCCTATTTATAGATCGCGTGATCGTGAGCGCAATTGGAGCGCCGCGGTGACGTTACATAACGTCTCGCTGTCTCCTCACCCACTTGCGTTCTCCCACGGGCGGAAAGATGGTGTGGCAGAGCCGGATGGCCGCGATGTGGGAACCCTTCTACGTCCGGTTTTCGGTTCTATTTTAGTTGCTCGCCTATTTTATCTTACATCACTTGTTTTTACCGTAAACACGGACCCACTTACCAACAATCGACCTCTTTGCTTCTTACCACATCCTCAGCGGCCAGTGCAGGGCAAGTGCCCAGAGGCAGCATCGTGCTCCTCACCCCTTCGACTACCGAACACCGCCAGTGGGCTCCTTAGCCACCGAAACACCCAAATCACGCCACACGACCACCCCTTTACGTCGCATTTTTCCAATCTCGTACTCTGCTTTCGCCCCAGTTTTGCAGCCGACGCCTCGGTACCATCCCTCCAATTTTATATTCCCAAAATCACTCTACAACTATCGGACCGCCGACCCAATTCAACGAACCACCGACCGGCTCCCTGCCTCTTCATCAATGGCACAGAATCTCAATCAGACACGATCTCGCGCGTGAGTTACATACCATTCGCTAGATCCGCCGCGAACATACCCAAGTGACCACACCCGCAGCCCACCGCTCTTTGGAACAAGCAACACGGCGCGGAGGTTGTCGAGTGACTGTGCCCCTCCAGAAAGTTTTCGTGTATCAGGTCAGACTTCAGCTCTTTCGGCCTTTTAACGATGGCTCATGAGCTCTGAAGTCATCAACATCGCTCGTGGCCCCGGTATCGATTACGCCTTAACTTGCAAAATAACCACAGAAGATGGAAAGAAGGTCGTCGTGAAGTTGGATGAGCAGACCGCCAAGCTCGTGCGACCGCTTTTGTCACCTCTCTCGTGGGTCCTGCCTGCATAGTCGATGTTGGCATTCGTTTGATTCGGCTAGAATTACGGAGACTTCAAAAGTTTCCGTCCGCGCAACAAAGAGGCGGTCATTTTGGTTCAACGCAAACTCCGCAGAATCGGTAATCACTTACCGCGACATTCATTCCAGACTGGGAACCGGTCTGTGTCGTTTTTTCCCGGGTATCCTGTGCCGTATTCCTTATCTTTTGTTTTGTCTCGCGGTCGAAGATACACCGGATGCAAATCCATATATCGCTCTGAAGCTTCAAATTGTAGGTATTTTAGGTCAACGGAAAACTATGGCTCCTCTTAATGTGGTCCACAAGTTCTCTTTCCAGGGAAATATCAACATACAAGAAACGTTTACCCTTCAAAATCCGTGAGTGTGTTACTGCTAGGGCAACATAAATCCAATATCCTTCTTCCTTAGACATGCATTTGGAGTGCAAGTCGTAGGTTAGAGATGATACTTCAATGCCACTGGATGTGCACGTTAACTGGATCAAGGCATCACTGTTACCTATCCAGAAGTATTGAAAGGATTCCACCACATTCGAGTCATGTCGGGTGGAGAAACAATAGTCAAGCAGTCACTGAAAGGCACAAATCAACCTCAGACATGCAATCGACAACTGTGAGTTTTCCCCCTACATATATCATGCTTTCGTCGCAACCTGAACTCAAGCGAAGGGCTCTGGAGTCGGATTGCGCTTTGAATATCCGTCTGGAACACCGAGATTTTCCCTGGTCGACAAAGAAAACTGTTGTGTCAGAGAACGTCACTCA